GGGGAGGGGTGGTGATACTCCTCCTTCTGGGGCTGGGCTATTAGAGAGCTAAGGGCTCAGCTGGCAGAATACCTTTGATATGCAAACTAAGCAATCCAGGGTCTTACTTCCTCTGTCTGGCCTGCAGACCCCAGGAGGCAATATTCCTCTGCCCCTGCATCCCTGGGCCAGGTAGCAGACAGCTGGAGGCCACCTCTAGAGCCAGAGCCTGCCAAATTCTTCCAACTAGCCAATCCTAAACTGTTTACCCGTCCGGCCTTGCCTTTCCAGGGGAAACTCAGGGAAAGGCTGTGGCCGAGGCTCTGCCTTCGCTCCTGCCCTGTCTTCTGAGCACCCCGGGCTTCCCCATGTGACTCTGTGTGGCATGGTGTGACTCCTGGGCCTAGGACCTGTGAGTATAACGAACTTTGTCCACCTGAGCCTCTCCTGTGTCTCTTGTGACTGTACCCAACTGACCACCATGTTACAGAACACTAAACAAAGGCTACTTTGAGACACAGAAAAACGTTCATATCAGGTGCATTAAAAAGCACACTTATAAACCAATATTAATCTCTTTCCATTCTTGTAAAAAACAAACAAAAGTAAACGTTTGGAAGCAAAATACCAACATACTAATAGTAGTTAAAATTGGAGGTAAGCTTGTGGGGGATATTTTTGGTTTTTTGTACTTTTATTTCTGAATTTTCTACATTTATTTAAGGAAACAACCTACTTGTGCCAGTTATCTATCGCTTCACTAAAAACTGCCCTGAAACTTAGTGGTGTCTAACACCTAGCATTTTAGTCAGTAGTTTGTTCTGGGCTCAGCCGGGGACCTCCTCCGGGCTCGCCTGGAGTCCCTCACATGGTCCCAGTGGTCTACAGGCTTTCCTGGGGCTCTTTGGTCCCAGGCAGTGCCTGGCAGTTGGCGCCAACCCTCTGCTAGCTCTGTCCCAAGTGGCCTTTCATCCCTAGAGTGCCAGCTGGGGCTTCATGACAGGGTGGCAGGAGCGTTCCAAGATGACAAACCTGGAAGCTGCAAGGCCCCTTAAGGCCTGTGCTCTAAGCTTACACAATGTCACTTCCGCCCCAGCCGATTGGTCAAAGCAAGTCACACGGCCTGCCCAAATTCAAGGGCAGAGAAACAGACTGGCGTCTGGCTGGGAGACGTGGTAAAGCTAGGTGTGGAGAGGTTGGGGTATAGGCATAGAAAGAACCACCGGGTTCTCCTTGCAAACATTTGCAAACACTCCACCACATCGTTTCAAAAGACTTTTACAAGTTTCTTCTGGTCTGTGTACTTCTATAGAGACAATAAAAATGGCTAACACTTTTTTTATATTGATCATTTGGGGCAGTACTCAAGAGTCTAATTGGACTTGAAAGAAAAGAATTTTAAAGTATTAAGTAAGTCTTACAGTAGATATTTTTACCAAAATAGTTTGGCTCTTTCTCTCCATCAGTTTGAATTAGTGAGATTCCCAGCATGTATATCAGGAAGAAAACTTCTTTAATTTAGTTCCTGGCTGCTGGACAGGTTGTCAGATTCGTGCTAGTGATTAGTAAAAGGAATTTCTCACAATTCTGCAATTAAAACCCTACCCGCTTTTCATTCCTGATTATGTGCTAGGATAGGAACCATCTCCCAGCAGCTTAATATTATTAGATTAGCAAGAAGATGTCTAACACGACTCAGTGTTGTTCTTGAAAAATAATTAGCTACCTAAGTGGAATAGACCTCCATGGAATACAAGTATATCTCTTTTAGAACATTGAAATTTGGAGGCTTAATTATCCAGTGAAAAATAGTCACTTTAGCACTTTAGTCCATTTGGCTATATATTGACATTATTAAAATGCTTTCCTGGTCTTTATGCAAATGGATTAAAAAAATGTATCTCCTAGCAACCCAAAGTGAAATAAGCCCTGAAAAATGACATCTCAAGAAGACTTTGGGTTCTTAATCCAAGTAAATTCCTAGGGTTTATTTGTTGATTGTGTGAATGGACAAATGGAGATTTGTGCCTATAGGTGTACATACAGCTGAGTAACCCTCTCAACTAAACTTGTAAGCAGCTAATTAAGCAGTCAAGTTCATACAAATAAATAGTAAAATCTAGTGCATTTGGTCACCAGTTCCAATCTGTAAGTATGCACTTAGCTGAATGGGAGAACGAAACGTGAATTTACTTATGTGCCCTTGAGACTTGACCATGCTCTGGAGTCTGGGGAAGTTTCTTCCTCTTTTTAGGGATGCACCCTGGTCATGGGGTGCTGCAGCCACCTCACCTCCCAGAGCCTTAGCTTCTGCCTCCTGGTCTTTTTCAGTGTTCTTTACCTGAGAGTGACAGAAGCCCAATTCAACCCCACAAGTTTAGGCAAAAAGGAAGTTTTTAGGTTCTGCAATCCAGTTCCCAAAAGGGCATAGACAGAACTGGGTTTCGAGATGACCACAGCCAGGCCACCCCTTTGGGTTCCCCGAAAGCTAAGCCTGAGACAGGGACTTGGGTGCAGATCATTTACTCAGGAGGTGTTCCTAGAAAGCCTAAGTGAGCACATAGAGGAAAAGTGGGCAGGGAAGTGAGCACAGCCACAGGGATGAGCCTGAGTGGGCTGTCTGGCAGAGAGCCTCTGAAAAGCCAGCAGATCAGCCTCAGGGTCTTCTAGTGTAAGCTGGGGGGCTGTGGAGGGGCGGGGATTGGAATATTTACCCACCAACTCCCGTCCCCTGCTGGGTGAGAGCTGCTCTTGGGAACCTATGCTTCTCTACACTTTTGGGTTGTACCTGCTGGAGAAAGCCCAGGCAGAGAAGAAAGCCAAACGGACTTAAGGTGAGAGGCTGGCCTTTGGCTGCTGCAGCTGGAGAGCCCAGATGAGCCAGGGGCTACCCGGTGGGCACCAGCACCTGCTCTGGGCCCAGAAACCCTGAGGACTCTGTAGCTTGTCTGTTTGTCTATCTTTCTCGGGTGTTCTGTTCTCTCTGAGAGCAAGGGGGGGGTTTCTTCAGGGACCTCGAGCTCAAGCCCCTCTGGCTGCTAGCCATAGGGATCACGGATACTCCTTTCTTCTTGCTCCAGCCAGCAAAGTTTCAGGGAAGGACTCTGATTGGCCTCACTGAATCATGTGACTATCTGGACCAATCATGATCGTCCAGGTGTTGGAGGATTGTGATTGGTCCAGGATGGGTCATTTGCCTGCCCCTGGCGGGAGGATGTGTCTGTTCCCAGAAGCATGAGTGTAAGGGGGGAAGACATATGATTGGGCCTTTCCCCATCAGAGAGGTTGGCCAGTACCAACCAGCCCACCTGGCAGGCTTTAGGCATTTTGACCCTGGGTGAGGAAGGTTTAGGATTTTGACCCCTTCCCTCCAAGGAGGCTTCTGGACTCTAAATTTAAATTTGCCCCTTTCTCTCTCCCTAACAATCTTCTAACCCTATATACCAATGATTTCTCTTCTCCTCCCTCTCCACTTTCACTTCCAACTCACCAGGCCCTGCCAGCTAGGAAGGCGCTTAACAACTCCTACCTTCCATCCAGCTGGTGTGTTTTATGGTATTCTGGGAAAGCTCTCTTTTTCTTTTTATCAGGCATGAATATTATTTGGAGAAAAGGTTTTGACAAAGGATACTACCACAAAAGAGTAAATAGGGAATTTAAAAATACGTTCACACCTTAGGGCAATTGATGTTTTAGTTAGATGCTTGCTTCTGCTTTCCAGTACTAGAAATTGGCTTTCACTTGCCTGACCTTAATGAACGTTAAGGGAATCCTTTCGTAGCTCAAAGACAAGTTCATCTGCAGGAAGGAAGCTAGTGTAAACACCAGGGGGGATATTGACTGATGTGAAACCGATACTCCAAAATATCACCCTCTGTGTCTAACAGAACACATGCCTTTTCTGAAATGGATGGTTCATTCATACTGTCATTCAACTAATATGTGTTAAGTACCCAGAAGGTACTTAATAAATACTATCGATGAGAGCAACAACATCCGTGCTTTCAGGGAGCTTACTTCTAACTGGGGAGACAGAAGATAAACATGCATGAATGAAAAAACAAGATTCCTTCCAAGAGTGAATGTACTAGAAGTGCATGAAACAGCAAGGATCAGGGAAGCCTTACTGAACAAAATCTTGACTTCGAGCTGGAATCTTTGGTGTAGTGAGTTGGGGAGCAGCAGCTCAGGCGGGAGCACGAGCAGGTGCCAGGCCCTGAGGCGGGAATGAGTTAGGGGTGTTCAGGAGCTAGAAAGGAGGCGCGAGTGGCTGGCGTGCAGTGTGTGGGGAAGGGGGGTAGGAGCGGGTCAGGAAGAGACGCCATTGGCAGGGCCATGGGCCACAGCCAAGAGCAGGGACTTTGATCTCAGTGCAACGGGCAGGTGTTGGTGGGCTCTGAGCAGGGGACTGGCGCATGCGTTTTGGCATTTTAAAAGGCCACCCTTGCTCCTGTGAGGCTAACGGTGTGCAGGGGAGAGATGGGTGTGTTTCTGCAGAGGAGGATCTGGAAGCAGACGTGGAAGAACTTGCTGATGGACAGGAGACGTGGGAGGAGGGACGGGGCCTACGGGGGATGAGGCACTGCCCCTTTCTTTGGACTGTGCTCCACGGAAAGCTGGGCCCGCTAGATGCCAAGTGAGCCTGCACCACCCTCGGCGGTGCATGCACACTATGTTTTCTGAGTCACTGTTATCTTGGGGGGAGGGAAAGCAAACTCAAGTCAGAGAATGACAGAAAATTTAGCTCTGTTAACTGAAAACAATTTAATTCCAGTTGAAATGTTGTTTCTGTGCCAGCAGACAAGTTCTACTCGCTGTCCTTGTGTGACCCAGGGGTTTATCGTCATCATTCATAGTAGTCAGGTTGAGCTAAACCAGAATTCAGTTTTGATGTGAATTTCAATGAAGCAGCTTCCAAGTCTGTAGGTTTTGGTGCACGTATTAT